CGTATTTCTACGTTTCAATTGCACATTCATCTCTATTTTAAAAAAATGTGGTCATAATACTTGTGCACTATTTTTCATTACCGTTCCCGTACTCTGCTTGGATGCATTGTGTGTGGACATAAATTGTTTATGTTTATGCTTGTGCTTGTGCGTATATGTTTGTGGATATGTGATGATTATATTCATGCTTGTGTGTATGGGGACATGTAATGTTTATGCTTATGCGTGTGCTTGTGCGTGTGCGTGGACATGTAGTTTAAGCTTGTTTACGTGCGCGCGTGGAGATGCACGAGTGCGTGTATGCGTGAGCGTTTTTTTTATGGATACATGCAATTTTGTGCGTGAAAATATGGACGGAAGTGTGAGAATCCCGTGGAGTATGGTTAGTAAGAAGTTAATATGTGCAACTTTTGCGTGAACAAACGCGAGTGTAAGAGGTGGTTTGCCTCAATTCTGAGCATTTCTGTTTTCATTCGGCCGGTTGGTTAAAATTATGCGAGGCCCAACCCCAGGAACATTCATTATACGGACATGCTTATACACTGAAATTAATGCATATCTATCAGTCTACATATGCATATCTACCATATAGACAGATAAATGTATATTTCTGATAGACAGACATGCATTAATTTCTGTGTATACGCATGTTTGCATATACGAATATTCATTGAGCTGGGCCTTGCCCAATTTTAACAAACCAGCCGTATATTACTGTTACTATTATTACTACTACTATTACTATAATAACTACTACTACTATTACTACTGCAGCAACAATCACATTAAACATTTAATCTACTGCAGTACAAGGTTACTACCCAGGTCTTAGCACTGATTAAGGAAAGTCAAAAGCATTAAGGAAAAAATTAGTATAGCATTTACTTGAAATTTTTATTGTGTATGGACAGACTTCATTGCATATAGACAGAGATAACTTAGTTTTCTATCTTAACAATTGGTAATTAAAAAATGTTAATATAAATGCTATTAACCATGCAGTTAGCTACATCAAGAATATCTACCAAACTAAAGTTGTTTCCTTTTAAAAGCAGGAATTTAATTAGCTGTTTTTAACAGGACAAGTACGGTTATTTAAGCAAAAGGATTTGAAACATTTCCCTGCTACTTCGAACACAAAGAAAAAGAAAATTTACAAGAAATAAGGCAAAGAAATAAATCACTACAACCCAGCATCAAGCTCGCCAACTCTATACGTGCAAAAGAAAACTGCCTTTCTTTTTCTACTTTCTGAAAATTGCACAACGGCCTTTAAACGGTGGGCGGAAAATGCTTATATTCTCGTACCTGCAGGTAGTGCGCACGAATCACCAGGAGGAAATAGGTCTCCAGGAAAATGTACCCAAAGGCTACAGCAGCCACGATGGACATGGAGGTTAAGTCGCCAACGACGATGAGGGCGATGCAGAGAGCGGCGCCGCCCGTGATGGTCAGGATGATGTAGATCAGACGGAGAATCATGTAGGGCACCATGAGGCAGGGGTCATTCTGGAGGATGAAAAGGAAAGACCATGAGGCACGGGTCATTCTGGAGGATGAAAGGAAAGACCATGAGGCAGGGTAATTCTGGGAAGACCATAAGGCAGGGTAATTCTGGGGAAGAAAAGGAAAGACCATGAGGCAGGGGTCATTCTGGAGGATGAAAAGGAAAGACCATGAGGCAGAGGTCATTCTAAGGAAGAAAAGGAAAGACCATGAGGCAGGGGTCATTCTGGAGGAAAAAAGTTTGGGGTATATAACAAATGACATTTTGCAAGAAAATGTATGTATGCTGCTTGCGATTGATAACCTGTGCTTTTATCTGTTATTCTTGCAACTCCAGCTTCGTCACTAAAACTGCTTCATGAAAAATATAATGTATTTTTCCCGAGCAAATATTTTCTTATTGTTCATCAACGAATAGATGCAAAAAGTATAAATATATATATATATATATATATATAATATATATATATATATATATATATATATATATATATATAGTATATATATATATATATATATATATATATATATATATATATATATAATATATATAATATATATATATATATATATATGTATATATATATATTATATATATATATATATAAATATACGATGGACGCACCAAGTTAGGGCAAACTGAAAATATCTTAAAAGCAAATGTACAAATCATCGGCTCAAGAAATCACCTGCAAATCCGAACGGTAACGCAACAAATAAAGGTAAAAGGCCGCCGAAAACGCCACCCACAACCAGAGTTTTAGCTCTTGCCATGAAGACCAACTTTGCCAGGCAGGGGACGCCCAGTCACGGCAACTTAAGATAATTGAATAAATTTTGTGACGGACTTGAAATGAGTTCTTTAGCGAGTGCGTCCGTGCTGTAAAGAATATTCATCGAATAAATAAACATGAAATAGAATACCTTGGAGACGCCGTGGATGAGGAGCGAGCTAATGATCACCTGGATGACGTAGAGCAGCATCAGCGTTGCCCCGCCCAGCATAACTGCAGATCGTAACAAAATTATAATCTATATAATTAAAAATTGCGTCGAATGTAGAGGATAAATTGATAATGATAAATGATAAAAGGAATAATAAGATGATAAAATTAGACCCTGTGCAACGTTCAGTATACTTTTGAACATCTTAATGATTTATAAAGATATGATCATTTAATAAAAATAAGAAAAACTCGAAACAAGAAAAATAAAGTCAGCCATTGCAGAACGTAAAAAAAAAAAAAGATGAACAGGTGTGATTTCGCCAAAGTGGTACAGCCTTATCCCTATGACTAACCAATATGTTTCACACTGTCCCTGCAGGCGCCCATGTCCTCGGCTTCCAAATTCATGCGGCAGAACTTCACTACTTCGAGGTCCACATTCTGGTCATGATTCGCGTAGATGTTGACGAGGTTCAGAATGCCAAAAATGCCGCTAATCTATAAAAAAAAGGGAAAATTCTTACAAAAAAGGAATTTTTCCTAAAAAGTTATTTCCTAAAGAGGACAAAACTACTTACAATAAAAATTTTTTTTTTCATATAATCTGAAAATATAAAAACTAAGAAATAGCATGCTTCCCCCCCCCCCCCCGTTCCACATTAGCATAGCCTCACAACCCTTCCTCATCAATATTCAAATATTCGTATTTACGTAATTAGCACAAGATGAGCACAAGGTCCACCTTCTACTTACGACTGAGAGCGAAGCCAGAATAAGACTCCCGGTTCTTCGTGTGAAGCAACAACATCCCTTTGGCTGCCACAGCATCTTGGAAGTCTGGATGGGAGGAATACACACGTATAATTATAAATGATATAAATATTTGGATGGGAGGAATACACACGTATAAATATAAATAATATAAATATTTGGATGGGAGAAATACACGCGTATAAATAATAGATCATTTAATGTAATATTAAACCGACCTGTATTCATGTTGACAAATGTGGAAAGGTATGAATGAGAATGAATATCTTCACAATACAAGAGATGTATTTAACCGGTTTCGATTACATATTCGTCAGAAATACATCGAAACAGTTTACATACATCTCTTGTCTTGTGAAGATATCCGTTCTCATTCATACCTTTCGTAATATCAAATGTTTAGAAAATGTACATATGGAGTTTCGGATATTTCGAGAAGATATAATTTGTCACGATGGATTATATGACAATGGCTATGCAGGTAGGTTAAGCTCTACCTTCGAATGCAACATGGCTTCTTGGCCCTGTGCCTTTTATCTTTCTTCCTTCTCTTTTTTCTCTTCAATAAGAGGGGGGGGGGAAGCTACTGAGCAGAAAGCATGTACTAGCGGTATTTTTTTTTTTTTTTTTTTTTTTTGTCTTTTTATTTTTTAGTTTCACGCAACCATCCTACCTTGAAACTATCACTCCTCGTTTCAGTTACTCACGGTGTAATATCAATGCGCGAATCACTCGTTTCCCATCGCAAAGGATATAACGAAAATGATTCACTCCCTCTCGGCCCCGATTACTTCAGCGATTTGGCGAGATCCACAAACACCGCCGTATGAACCAAAATCCTCCCCTGTCGCCATGAATGAGTTTCTTTGATTACTCTAGTGTCACTAGATTTTCCTGTAATTGTATACCAAAGTAACGTGTTTTGCACAACTCTTATTGCCAATTAGCGAAGGAAATGTCATATACTTAAAGTATTCTCTGACATTCTATCTGCTACAGGCAAAATCTACCTCGCGCCTTGTGACTATGCGAAACAAATTAACAGTATAGTTCGTTTCACACAGGTAGATGTTACAAAATATTCTTTGCCTTTATTGCACGAGTGTCAAAGACGCAGCCTGCCACACTCCTATGTGCGGCTCGCGGCGTATTTCCAATTTCAGATTACGGTCGGCCGCTTTTCATGATTAAGTCTGTTCTTGTCTTTTAAGATTAATACCAACTCTTACTTCTATCGTGGTTTTTGTAGTGAAAGAAATCGCCTCGGGTTGTGATGCGCGGGCTAATACCCTGATTAGTCTGAAATTATGATCGCCTTGAAGGAAAATGACATACGACTTTCACCATTAGTATCATCTCAAATCTGTTAAGTAAAATGAACTTTACAGGTATATGTTACCAGCTTTAGCACCGTAATCCCGGGTAGCCAGGGATGAACTGTCGCTGGCCCACTAGATGCTAGCTGTAGTTGAATACAAGAACGTGCAACACGTAATACTTTGGTTTCCATTGACAGGAAAAGCTAACGACACTGGTATAATCAAAGGGGAAAACTACATACGTTGATACCCAATATAATCTGCGTAGGCCGAAATCTGCGTCATAAATGAAAAAAAGTTCTGACAAATGCCAAGCTGAGAGCAAGTCCGGCGGGTTGGATCTGGGGGAGGGAGGGGGGGGGGCGAAACCTGTCGTAAACAATATTAATACCTTCATTTACCATTTTCAGGAAAATAATGAATCACCCATATTACTGCGTTAATTGAGAAAAAAATAATAATTGCAAGGTTGGAAGGCAGTGTGGAACTAAAACTACTCCCAAAAAATAAAATACACCTAAAACAGTCCAGCCTCCTGTACGTATATGGGCACGGCCGACTGCACTCGCCCCGCCTCCCATTCACGGCACAAATTGAGGACCAGCGCATGACAGGGACTTGTTGGAACAATTTTACACAAAAAAAAGCCATGTCTATTTAAACAGCCATTTGCCAGCACCACCACACACCACAATACCCCCACACACACACCACAATACCCCCCCACACACCACGACCACCACAAACCCCCCACACCCACACACCACAATTACCCCCCCCCCCACACACACACCACACACAATTCCCCTCCCACAACACACCACACACACACACACATACCTCCCACACACACACACACACACAACACACACAATTACCTCCCACACACACCACACACACATACCTCCCACCACACACACACACACACCGAAATACCCTCCACCACACACACACACAACACACAATATCCCTCACACACAACCACCAACACAATCCTCCCACACACAACACACATACCTCCCAACACACACACACACAATACCCTCCCACACACACACACACAATACCCTCCAACACACAACACACACACAAACCCTCCCACAACACACAACACACAAATACCCTCCCCCCCCCACACACACGTATAACCCTCACACACACAACACAACACCAGCACACAATACACCTAACACACACACACACAACACACAATTACCCTAACACACCACACAACACACACACACAACACAATACCCTCCACACACACACACACCCAAGTACCCTCCACACACACACACAGCATTAATACCTCCCAACACACACACAATAATACCCTCCCACACACACACACACATAATAACCCTCCACACCACACAACACACACAACACACAATACCCTCCCGACACACCACACCACCACACACACATAATTACCCTCCCACACACACACACAATACCTTCCACACACACACCACACAAATACCTCCACACACCACCACACACACACACACAATACCTCCACACACACACACCACCCAACACACACCACATCACACACACACACAATTACCCTCCCACCCACACACATACACACACACACAATACCCCGTCCCACACTCACACACACACACACTACAAATACCCTCCGCACCACCAACACACCACACCAAACCCTTCCCACACCAACACACACAACACACCATACCCTCCGCACACACACACCACCAGCACAATACCCTCACACACACACGAACACCACACAAATACCCTCCCACAGCACCAGCACACACACAATACCCTCCACACACACACACCAGCAACACAAATCACTCCCACACAACACACACAACACCATACCTCCCACCACCACACACACACAACAACACACACACACACACACACACACACACACACACACACCCACACACAACACCACCACACACACACACCACACACACACACACAACACAACACACACAACACACCACACACACACACACACACACACACACACAACACACACACACACACACACACACACACACACACACGCACACCCACACACACATACCCACACACACCACACACACACACACACACACACACACCCACACTACACACACACACACACACACACACACACACACATTCACTCCCACACACCACACACACACAATCCTCCCACACACACACAACACCACATACCCCACACACACACACACACACACACACACACAACAATAACCTCCACACACACACACACACACACAAATACCCCCCACACACACACACCACACAATAACCTCCCACACACAACAAAAAATACCCTCCCACACACACACTACACACACACACCACAATACCCTCCCACACACACACACACCACCACACACACACACGCAATACCCTCCCACACCACACACACCACACACACAACAATACCTCCCACCACACACACACACACCACACACCACACACACGATACCCTCCACAACACACAACACAACACACACAACCACACAATACCTCCCACACACACCACACACAACCCCACAATACCCTCCCAACACACACCACACACACCAACGACAATACCTCCCCACACACACACACACCACACACACACAATTACCTCCACACACACACACACCAATAACCCTCCCCACCACAACACAACACACACACACACACACACCAATACCTCCCACACACACACAACACACACAATACCCTCCCCCACACACCACACACACACAATTACCCACACAACACGACACACACACCACACACACACAATACCCCTCCCACACACACACCAAAAAAAAAAAAAGACCATGTCTATTTAAACCAGCCCATTTGGCCACACACAAACACACATACCCCCCCCCAACACACACCACAATACCCCCCCAAACCACACACCACAATACCACCCCACACACCACCACACCACAATACCCCCCACACAGCACACCACAATACCCCCCCCACACACACACACCCAATTACCCCCCCACACACACACACCACAATACCCCCCCCATACGACACACACACCAACAAGTACCTCCCACCACCACACACAATACCTCCCACACACACACACCACAATACCTCACACACAACACACACAATACCCTCCCACACACACACAGCACACAATACCCTCCCACACAAACACACACACACACACACAATACCTCCACACACACCACACACACACACAATACCTCCACACACCACACACACAACACAATACCCTCACCACACACAAACAACACACACCACACCAATACCCTCCCACCACACACACACACACACACACAATAACCTTCCCACACACACAACAAACAATACCCTCCCAGACACAGACACAACACAATACCCTCCCAACACACACACACACACACAATACCTCCACACACACCACCACACACACAATACCTCCCACACACACACAACACCACAATTACCTCCAACACCAACACAAATTCTCCACACACACACCAAAAATACCTCCACACACAAACAACAATACCTCCCACACACCACACACACACACAATACCTCCACACACCACACACACACAATTTCCCTCCCACAGCACACACTACACACCAATAGCCCTCCCACATCAAACACACAATACCTGGCCCACACACACACACACATAACCCTCCACAACACACACACACACACACACAATACTCTCCCACACACACACAACACACACACACACGACACATA